AACTGTGGTCAATGTCATGAGACAAAGTATATGTGAACTGCTGTATGGAAATTGAATTTGCTCTGTAAATCTTCACCCAAATCACAATTAAAAAATAACAACAACAACTTTACTCCATTCACATCATTAGACTCTACTTTTAGGAAACAGCTCTTCCCCAGACATATTTTGAGCACCTCCTAATCTGAGGTGCTCATCTTCCAGCACTATATTAGAGAGTATTTCATGGTTATTTATAAAGTTTTCCAATAATATATCAGACATTATTTCATTGCTATTCATAAGGTTTTCACTATCTAATTCTTTGAGAAGTAGATGTCCCCTTCCTTTTTTCTGAGTCTGTCTTAGTCTGGAAGCTCCACTGAAGCCTGTCCACCATGGGTGACCCTGCTGGTATTTGAAATACTGGTGGTATAGTCTCCAGCCTCAAAGCAACATGAAAGCTACCACAATATGACAAACGGACAATTGGTCTGTCCTAGATCTTAAAAATTTTTCGAACATAACAGCCAATCTTCAGTACAAGGTAACTATAATATTATTATGAGAAAAGTACGTATTACAAAAATAACAACTTTATGTGGCCATAATCATCAAGGGGGAGCTTTGGTAGCACAGTGGCTAACACTTGCCTGCTAACCAGACGGCTGGCGGTTCAAACCCACCAGCCACTCCTCGGAAGGAAGGTTGGGCAATCCTACTTCCGTAGTGATACTGCCTCGGAAACCCAAGGAGGGGTCGCTGTGAGTCGGGGCCGACTCGACGGCACATAACAACAACAACAATCATCAAAGAGATAGAATAAACACAAAGACAAGTGGTTGAGACAGACTTTAATACTTACCAGCCCATGTTGCACCCTCAGGAACCTCAATAAAATGCCTTCGAATTTGACCAGGTTTAAAATGTACATCTGTAAAGGCTACATCATAATGCGATGATTCATTTACTCTGAAAATTAATAAAAACAAATCTTTAAATGTGATAATCTCACAAAAATAGCTTTATAAATAATAAGCCACTGGTACTCTAGATTTTACTGAATAAATGTAGAAAAATAGTTTATTAAAAAGAAATGAGACGCTTAAAAGTTGGTTATAAAACAGAATGTACAATATTATCCCATTTTTGCAATATGTTAGCAGAGATAACTTTTAGATAGCAGAGTATAGATGATTTTTTTTTTCTTTTTACCTATTTTTAAATCTTAAGGCATACACACACACATACACATACAAGTGTGTGCTCTCTTTTTTGTTAAAGGACACTAGAACAGTCACAGAATTTTCTAATTATCAAAATGTGAATGAGAGTTGAGTCTTAAGTATTAAAATCAAATGTAATGTTCTGGGTCACTGTTATAACTGTGAAATTGATTATTAAATTAAACCTCCTTTGTAGTTTCAAAAGGAGCTCTAATGGCATAATGTCCAAGGCATCTGACTGCTAATCAGAAGGCTGGTGGTTCAAACCCACCAGCTACTCCATGGAAGGAAGACTGGGCAATCTACTTCTGTAAAAATTTACTGCTTTGGAAGCCTAAAGGGGTCGCTAGGAGTTGGAACTGACTTACTCAGCAGTGAGTTTGGTTTTGGTTTTTGTAGTTTCAAAACACTCCTACGTCATAATAAAACAGTAAAGAAAGCCCAATTGTTCTCATACCATTTTCATAAGAAATCAAGGAAATAAAAAGGTCACATCTATAATCACCCAATATCAAAGCCTAATGTATATGTAAGAGAAAAATTCTAGTCAGCACGACACTTAATGAGTTCCTTCTACATATGAGGCACTACACTACATTAGGAGTCAGAGATACAACAAAGAACAAAACACAGTCCTTTGCCCTAGACAAGGAGCTCTGGTGGTATAGTGCCAAAGGCATATGAGTGTTAACCGGAAGGCTAGTGGTTCAAACCCACCAGCCACACCGTGGAAGGCAGACTGGGCAATCTACTTCCATAAAGATTTACCACCTCAGAAACCCAAAGGGGGTCGCCATGAGTAGTTATCGACTTCATGGCGGTAAGTTTGGTTTTAGTTTTTGCTCCAATCTAGTGGGGAAAGAAAAATGACCAGAAATATTTTTTGTTGTTGTTGTTTATTTTTTAAAAAACTTCTTGTTGTTGCTGACCATATATATAGCAAAATATATGTCAATTCAACAGTTTCTGCACGTACAAGTTAGTTACATTGATTACATTCTTGGAGTTGTGCAACCATTCTCATCCTAAGAAAAGGAACATTTATAGAGTAAATATAATATAACTTATGATTTGTGTTTGTCTTTATCTTGACAGTCATCCAAACATCACTAATCTATCAACAGAAACCCAGAGAATGCTCAAACATAATTATGTTTGGTTGCTTTCAATATTTTGCTAACTTTTATAAAAACCATACCTTTTTTCCCTAAGCATTATTTTGTTGTTGTTGCAAAACATATACCAATTGAACTGTTTCTATGCGTACAGTTTAGTGACACTGATTACATTCTTTTGAGTTGTGCAACCATTCACATCCTCCTTATCAGAATTATTCCTCCCTCATTAACATAAACTCACTGCCCCCCAAGGTTCTGATCCAATCTCTTGAGCTGCTGATTATAAATATTAAATGTAATATGCTCTGGATAGATAAGAAATGGTACTGGAAACTATTACATATACATATATATATATATATATATATATATATATATATACACACACACACACACATATATGGCCTTGTCTTAATTTCTATTGGACTTTTAAGGAATATATGACTAAGCAGGTCATTCTTAATTTTTCAGGGGTACACCATTTTTTATCTCCTCAATTTCATTATGTGTTTCTTATGGCCTGTTACATATTTAATATTTACTAAAGTAACAACAGAAACTGTTCATTGAGAATTTTTTATGTGTTTTCAGTATTTTCATAACCCAACTCATACTTTCATTTACAAAATACTGGCTTTTGTTTTGAATATACTGTACAGCAAATTCCATGGCATAAGGTACAACCCCTGTGCCTTTAGTGAGTTTAGGCAAATGAAGCAAATAAAAAATCAGAACACACTGGCTAAAAGCTATATGAGAGGCATGTGAAAAATGCCATGAAATACAAGGGCAGCACTCACTTCACCTGGGGATGACGAGAATTGTGCCTGCTGTTAATTTAGAGACAGGAAACTGAAGCAAAGGAACCAGTTGTGGAAACGTACATAATATGGAGGGAATTACTGAATCAGGGAGTTTGTTCAAATGTGTAATTTGGTGTTTTCAATGACAGGAAACACTGGCTGGAGCAAGACTCTGTAGGATCCAATCATTGTTTGCTATTTTAAGGGGCTTAGACTTGATACTTTGGAGTGTCAGTGATTATTTTAAGCAGGAAGTAATATGATCAGATTTGAGTTCCTTGTTCCAGGGTAGTAGACAAAGTGGAGAAGTAAGAGACAACAGTAAAATAACTATAGGTGACTAAAATACAAAAGTGCAAGAACCAGGAGAAAATACTAATCCCAAAGACAAGGGAGACAAAATAGATGGAGGTAGAAGGGCATGCTATAAAACTGTCAAATATCACAGAAGGACCAGGCAAGAGGAAAGCTAAAACATCCCCTGAGTTGGGCAATCAGGTCATTAGTAACCATGATAAAAAGCAGTTTCAGTGGAGTGCAGAAGTATACCTAGAATGCAATCAGTTATTCTCACAAATAACAAGGAATAGCATGACTGACTACTTGTCACCTTAAAATTCAAGCTAGGAGCAGAACTAAGACTAGATCCAGGTTAGTTAGTTCCAGTCTAACCAAAAACCAAATCCAACTCACTGCCATCAAGTCAATTCTGACTCATAGTGACCCCTATTTCCAAGGTTTCCAAGGTAATAAGTCTTTAAGGAAGTATATTGCCCCATCTTCCTTCTGCAGAACAACTGGTGGGTTTGAGCTGCCAACCTTCTGGTTAGCAGTCAAATGCCAATAATCCTTTAAAAGTCTGTACTACTTTCATATATACCCACCCACTGCCATCGAGTAGAATGTGACTCACGGGGAACCCAATAGGGTTTCCAAGGCTGTAAATCTTTATTGAAGCAGACTGCCTCTTATTTTCCCCATGGAGTAGCTGGAGGGTTGGAACTGCTGACCTTCTGGTTAGTAGTCCAATGCCCTAACTCCAGCACCACCAGAGCTCCACTTTCATATATAGCCATTAGAAATTACATGTAACAGTAAGCTCTTAATAAGTTGTTACTTACTTTGCTGCTATAACTGCAGTTATTGGAACTCTAAACAGAGGACCTGCATTAGGGGATGCTATATCATAGCCACATACCTTGAAAAAGGAATATTAAGGCTTAGTATTAGTAAATAAACTTTAAAAAGTCAAAAACAACAGCAACAAGCAAACAAACAAACAAAAAAACCCAAAGAGTCTAATCTATTCCTAGAAGAAATTAATCCAATCTTAAAATTTAAAGGTCCTAAGCACAGGCTGACATCAATTTCCTGATATCAAGTCATATAATGAAAAGCAATGAGTCTAAAGAAATATAACAACTCTTGATTAATTCACATTATTAAAATAAATGGGTCTACTACATCAAATACAGAATTTTTAAATAAATGCATTTAAATTACTTTTAACTGAAAATCAACTGAACTTAAATGCTCTAAACAACTCTAAGTAGAGATACTGTTATGTTACTGGGAATTCTCTGCTTATTTATAGTGATGGTTTAACATGCTTTCTTTATCAGAGCACAAAAAGAATAACTGCAGCCTGAGTTTAGTTGAATTAAAACAAATTCCAAATTAGAGGGATATCTAATGGAAGAGGTTTTGCTTCATGAAAGAGGTATTAATTCTGCAGAGACCTACCAGAAGAGCAGTAAAATCAGGTTAGGTATAAAGGTAGAATTGTTCCTTAATAAGAAAGCAATATACTATAAATACAATTGGCTAGACACCTTAAAATTTCAAACATTTTAAAGAGTAAGGAAAGTAAAAATTAATAATACCTCTGTATAGTGCAATCCTTCTCTTAAGCCCCGAGGATCCACACGTATGTTTATATGTCTACATTGATTCATGAGTTCCAAATGGCTAGGACACTGAACCCAAGATGAATTTGAAGTTAAAGCTAAATGAAGCTGAAGGGATATTTTTTCAGTGTTTTCTGGCATTAAACAGACCAAAAATAAAGATTAGAGTTTTTTTCTTTTCTTTCATTTTGCAAAGTTTTATATTCTCTTAGGAAAATTTAGCAACTGAGTTTCGTCTCAATTTAAAATGCACTATATTTGGGCTTTCAAAACATAACTTAAATAGAACAGTTAGGGCAATCCTCTTTATATTTCATATACTTATAGTCCATTTATACTTTACCAAACATTGCTACACCCTTAAAATAAGGAGCTGTAGCTGAATATTTTTCATTACTGCAGATAACACAAGTTGACAGAAATCAAGCTGCAATTGAGCCCAACTGAGCTGCATTTCACCCTGACTGCTTCTACTTCCCTATCTCTAACCAAGAGTGTTTCTTATACTCAAGTAGTAAAAGTGGAAAAGAAAAGGAATTTGATATTTTATTATCCACAATTTAATAAAATCCTAGGACAGAAAGGCCCATTCTATTGTTTCTAGATACTAAATGAACTGCCACTGTAATCCCGAATTGCTCTCACATTTTCCCCAAAGTCTGTAATATAAGCCTTAAAATAATAAGAATGTCAATTCATGCTTTCTTTTTAGAACATCAGCCCAAAAACTTTTCTATTAAAATACTATCTATTCAAACCATACATTTAAATGCTTCAGCTTACTATCAGTTTCTTACTTACCAGTATTCTCTGGAAATATAGGCTCAATGCCAACACCATGATCTGAAGGTGCAGCCACTTGAATAGAATCTCTGAGGTAGATGCCACGGTTACTTCCAACAGTAACAGTAAAACCCAGTTTATTAGCAAATGATGTATTCTGAATGAGGTAGTCATAGGCTTTATCAACCTAATTGAAAAGTATAAACAGTGAGATAGTATAAATTTTTTATTGCAAATTACCTATTAATTTACTTTCAATTATAGCACAAGCAGAAAGTTTGTTCTTATTCTTACCTCTCTACACTACATGGTAACCTCAACTGGCAATTCTATCCTTTTAGAGAAAATAGTAGTCTCAAGTAGCTAAAGGACCCATCCTTCATTCTCCCTATTTATACTGTTATTCCCAAGTGATCAAATTTAGGAATTGATCCATATACCATTATGATTTACCAGTTTTTACCCTCTACCTCTTTGCCTTGAATTTCTAACCTCTACACATTCAACATGCACTTATTTGGTGTAACAAATATGGATGAACTACAAATTAGTTTTTATATCCTCTATGCTTACAGTTAAGAGACTTCAATGACCATATAATCTAAAATTTGGATAAAATTAATCTTTGCTATAATAGGAAATAAGGAGCTCTGGTGGTGCAGCGCATAAGGCATTTGACTGCTAATCAGAAGGTTGGTGGTTCAAACCCACCAGCCACTCTGCAGAACAAAGACCAGGCAATCTACCATAAAGATTTACTGTCTCAGAAACCCAGAGGGGGTGGCTATGAGTTGGAATTACCTTGATGGCAGTGGGTTTGGTTTGGTTTATAAAAGGAAATATTATCCAGTAATACTTAAGATATCGTAATGATTTACAACACATTTTTTATTCAAGCAATAATACCTGAATAATACCATGTCCTTGGGCAAATACTTCTATATTGTCAGTCTTGACTGCAGTGTTTTCTAGAGCTCTTCTGACAGAATGAACGGTGTAGTTAACATTATTAGCTTTCAGACCTAAAATTAAACAAAACACAAAAGCAGTGTGAAACATCTCACACTAAAACCTTTTTCTCCCATTCGTACAGTTGACATGTAGATTGCCTAGTTTTAATGTTTTGTACTGTAACACTCATTTTTTTAAAAAAAAAACTAAATTAAACAGTCTAACTCAAACTGTTCGTATTGCACAAACATTTCATTCAACAAAAATTACTGAGTCCCCGTTATACGATGGTATTAATGCAGACCATGAAGAAATAATGCACATGGAAGCAGCAGCTAGATGTTAACATGGAATAGTGGAAACTAGGATGAAGTGACATTTTCTTTAAAACAGTGATGGTCAATATGGTTGCTGGGAGTGATTTTCGACCCAGTTACAGGTTATAAACACCAGGGGAATTTAAAACAAGTAAACAAAAGAGATTCTGAGGCGTTACCAAAGATGAATGAAATTAGAATCTTTGAGGCTTGATTCAAGCCAAAGGTATTTATTAAATGATTCTAAATGAAATTCTAGGGTACAGCCAGGTTGGGAACAACTGTACCACAGAAAGGATATCGAGGTCACTAATTTATGTTTATTTATATATATATTGACTATTAGCGATAAAAAGTAATATATCATTCGTGTCCTCTCCAGAGCACATCAAACATAGAAACATTATGACATTGTTAGAAACAAACAAGTAAACATTATGATACTGTCTGTGATTTTGTCAGTGAGAGAACAAAGAGGCTAAGCTGTATCAGAGGAACTGATAGAGGACCTGAAAAACTACGTAGAAGACTGCCCAGCCAACAACAGGCAGAATGGAATTCTAGGCAGAGAGAACAGCATGCTCAGAGATCATGATGTATTTGGTTAGGCTAAGCAAGATGAACTGGAGTGGAGAGTCAACAGCAGGATCCATCCTAAGAGTTTCCATCCTTAGAGTTCGGATGGAATTTGGTAAGTAATAAAGTATGGACCAAAGATTGAAAATAAGTAAGTAAGTACTGTTTGTGTTCAGAAGCTCTCTGGTGAGTGCAGATGGGCTACATCAGGGAGACATTTGGTAGACAAGAGAGACTGATATAATAATAGTCAGATAAGGTATGAACTAAGGTAGTAGGGAAGGAGAGAGGAGACCTTAATAGAAGGGGCCGTTTCTCAGGTGTGATACATATAACAGCCTGGCTATCCTAACGTTGAGTCCTAGTCAACTCAGGTGTCACCCTACTTAATAATATAACCCTCCTAAAACTACCCCCCAGAAATCATGACTTCTCTGCTTCATTTTGTTCCAAGCATTCATCAACTTTAACATGTAATAATAACTACGTTTTATTTTGTTCTCTCTCCCCAATGTAATATAAACTCCACATGAACAACTATTTTTGATGTTTTACTCATGAATTTAGCCCCATAGCTAAAATAATGCTTCCTAGTCAGTAACAGTAGACAACCAATAAATTTATTTGTTGACTAAATTAAATATATTCAACATATCAATAATTAAACATATAAATTATTTTTTACCTTAAACTTTACTTTGATCCCAGGACTACGAATTCTACCAAATTTTCTCCCCATGAGAACTTCAGAAAACAAAACATCTATCTGCACTGTTGTTGTTATGTGCCATTGAGTGTGGGTTTCCGAGGCAGTATCACTACAGAAGTAGATTGCCCCATCTTCCTTCTGAGGAGTGGGTGGTGGGTTTGAACCGCCAGCCTTCTGGTTAGCAGCCAAGTGCTTTAGGCACTACACTACCAGAGCTCCCTCTATCTGCACTAAGGTGAGAAAATTTATCCAACTGTTCTTTATGGCTACTACCTGATTTTATTTTATGCTAGAAATCTTAAGAATGTTTAGATACTTAACACCTCCTTACCAAATCTTAAAGGAATTCATAGATTTTAGAAGCAAGACTAAGGTAAATTATAGACTAATATTCAAAAGCTGTTTTATAAACCTATTTCTATCTTATTAAGAAAGGTAATTAAAATGCCATTGAAATACATGTGGAGTAGTAAAAAAAAATCCATTGTCACTTTATTTGAAATTTTAAAACAACAGTAATAAAGTAAACCATATATAATAACAACCAGTGTTCTTACCTGACAGTATAAGGGCAATGCCTCCACATGCATTAGGGGAAGACATAGATGTCCCATTCATTAGCTGAGTTCCTCGTAATGTCCAGTTCGGAACAGAAGCAATGGCCCCTCCTGGAGCACTAATACTCACTCCAAGGGCCCCATCAGCACTAAACATAAAGCCATAAAAGTTTGCTTAGGATGATGAAAATTGGATGGCATATGCATTCACAAAAAGCACACTAGTCAAATACATTATACTACAATATTATGGACTATCTGCAATCATTATAATAATGATTGCAATATTACTATGGAGAAATCACTGCAGAAAAAAATGTCCACAACAGCTTCTATTTCCACATTATAAATATATTTATTTCCTTTTAAATGGGTGTCTGCATCTGGGCTTATATAGGAAAGGTATATTCATAAATGGAAAATAAACAACATGCAATTCTTTTGCGATCATTTTAGGGATCTCGCTCAGATTCCTTGAAAGATATTTCTCTTTTGTCTGTAAAAAATAGAAGCTGTTCTCTTTCTTTAAGGTCTAATATAGCAGTGTCCAAAGGAAATACAATGTGAGCCACATACATAATTTAAAATTTTCTACATGCCACGTTTTAAAAAAGGTAATGAGAAACTGGTTAAAATTAATTTTAATAATTATTTTTCATATTCAAAATATTATCACTTCAACATGTAACCAATAGAAAAAAAATAAAGTGAATTAGTATACAGTTTTGTTTTGGTACTGTCCTCAAAATCCAATGTAAATTTTATACTTATGAAATCAACCAAACTTATTGCCACTGAGTCGATTCTGACTCACAGCAACCCCCAATGGGTTTCCAACACTGTAAATCTTTAGGGAAGTAGATTGCCTCATCTTCCTCCTGTGAAGCAACTGGTGGGTTTGAATTATCAACCTTCTGGTTAGCAGCCAAATGCCTTACCCACTACACCACCACAGCTCCTTTTTATACTCAGGCACATGTCAATTCAGATTAATTTCATGTGCCATGTCGCTACAGTATTAACAGTATATTCTAATAGGATTTCCTAGGTGAGGGCTTTAGTTAAGCATCGTCTAATGAGATAAAGGCCTTAGTGTTATCATCACATCATCATCAAACACAAGCTACATCCTCTGCTCTGTTCCAAGTAAAGGAATAAAATAATGGAACATTACTTACTTCTCCCCAGAATAAAAAAAAAAGAAACCAGTTAACGTTGAGTTGATCCTGACTCATGGTGATGCTATATGTGAAGAGTAGAACTTCACTCCATAGTGTTTTCATGGCTGGGCCCCTTTGGAAGCAGACCACCAGGACTTCCCTCCAAGGTGCCTCTGGGTATGTCTGAACTACCAACCTTTTAGTTAGTAGTTGAGTGCCTAACCATTTGTGCATCTCTAGAATAGTGGCCACAAATTTCTCACAGAGACTGCTAAACTCCTCCTACCATTCTTCTCACAAATAGTGGACTATTATTAGTCCTGGCTAGGAATACTAGGGTAATTCGGTTTCACATTTTCACACAGAGCTGGAAGCAATGCAAATAATATCTTCCTCCTGAAATGGTACTGGGTTGGCGGCACTTCTCATACTGAATACCTTCAAACAGATATTAAATACTTGTTAACCCATAAAGATGTTCACACTGTATTACTAAGTGACAAAAGTAGGTTACAAAAGTTCCTGAATAGTGTTATCGCCCATGTATGCACAGAAAAATAAAGAAAAGGATGTTCCACAAAATGCCACCAGCACATATCACAGGTGATGGAATTTAGGATAATTTTTACTTTCTTCTTTGTACTGTGTATATTGTTTACCAATGTGCATAATGAGCATTTATTATTTTATCACAGAGAAAAAAAAAGAGATGTTTTATTAACTCCAACTGACTATTTACTATTGCTCTCTATTAGTTTCCCACTAGACTGTTAAAGCAGATAACCACAAAGGACTTGTTTTAAAAATAGTGTCCCTAGTGTCCCATAAAAATGTAAATAATTGTTTTCTTATAAAAAAAAAAAAAAAAAGCAGCTAATAATATTTTGCTTCCAAAATACAATAAATACACTCATTCCTCTCTTACCAACACGGTTAGGTTCCAAAGGCTAGGTCATTATGTGAAATTAGGCATTATATAGAAATGGAAGATGAGCACATCAGATCATAAAACAGAGGATGACCACATTATTATGTAACTGGCAAACTTCATCATTACATAACTGCCATAACATGGCCCAGCCAAACTGATACATAACCTTGCACTTTGGCTTTCCTTACTGTCAGAGGTACATCATTAATGCACAAATAGATTTTTTTACTACTGTTGTAAATGTGAAGTGTCAGATAATAAGATAGCCATTAAGTAAGGAGTAGGTGTAATAAAATGCAAACTATGTTTATGTAGATACTATTATCTGATCATCTTTGAGAATTATGACATACTTAAAAACACCAGAAAGTCAACTAGATTACATGTCTGACAGTTAATCCTGCCAAAAAGTACTACAGCATATCTCTATGGCAGTAGATTGTCCACCTTCCTTCCGAGGAGTGGCTGGTGGGTTTGAACTGCCAGCCTTCTGGCTAGCAGTCAAATGCCTTGTGCATTTGCACACCAGAGCTCCTAGTACCACAGCATATATTCCATTAAATAATTGTGTGCTGCTGAGTTGATTCCATCTCACAGTGACTGTATATGACAGACTGGAACTGTCCATAGGGTTTACTTGGCTGTAATCTTTAGGGGAGCCTATCACCAGGTCTTTTCTTTCAAGGAGTGGCCACTGGCCTTCCAGTTAGCAGGAAGATACTTTAACTCTCAAATTCTATCAATTCTTAGAAGAACTGATTTGTTCTGCTTTAATACAAACTTCTTCCAAAATTCATTAATTTCTTGGTGTTTTCTTAAAATAATTCTTCAAGTGTTCCATGGGCAGGTAAGATTGGTAAAGTCTAGTTTAAACACTCTAATACTTTATTTTTATAATGACAATAAAATTAAATTTTGTAATAAATTTAAGAACTAACAAATGTAATAATCTAATCCTTTTATTAACAAAAGGCTGGTTTTTGACTCTTACATCTAATTATTCATTGACATGGAATTCTAGGCCAGCTAATTGGGTTGATGAAGGTAATCCACAGTGATACTCAAACCAAACTCAATTCCACTGAGTTGGAATAGATTCTGATTCACAGTGACCCCCATTGGGTTTCCAAGGCTGTACATCTTTACACAAACAGACTGCTTTATCTTTCTTCCATGAAGAGCCTGGTGGGTTCAAACTGATGACCATCTGGTTAGCAGCTAAATGCCTTAGCTACTACACCATCAAAAAACTTAAACCAAATCCACTGCCACTGAGTCAATTACGACTCATGTTATTGTTATGTGCCATTGAGTAGACCCGACTCATAGCGACCCCTCCTTCGGTTTCTGAGGTGTTATCACTGTGCAAGTAGATTGTCCAACCTTCCTTCCGAGGAGTGGTTGGTGGGTTTGAACTGCCAGCTTTCTGGTTAGCAGTCAAGAGCTTTAGGCACTACGCTACCAGAGCTCCCATTACGACTCATAGAAACCTCCATCAGGTTTCCAAGGCTATAAATCTTTACAGAAGTAGATTGCCTCATCTTTCTTCCATAGAGCAGCAGATGGGTTTGAACTACCAACCGTCTGGTTAGCAGCCAAATGCCTTACCCATTATGCCACCAGAGCACCTCACTACACCACCAGAGCTCCCTTAATGTATAGTGATGGTGTACGGCAAGGCTTACTGACCTATGTGAGATCCATACCCTGATTGTTTTCAATAATAAATAGAGTTATAATAAAGTACTGAAATAAATTTACTTATTTTATTGTTTTAAAAGAAGAAGTTACCTAGGGAAGACTAGGACAATTAATTAACTTGAAGAATTAAATTTAGCATAATTATATGTGATGTGATCCCAAAGAATATGTCTAAGCTTCTCTTCTAATAAACAAAAACAAAAATCAAATCTGTTGCCAGTGAGTTAATTCTGACTCTTGGCAACCCCATGTGTTACAGAGTAGAATTGCTCCATAGGGCTTTCATGATTGCCATCTTTATGGAGGAGTTCCTGGGTGGCTCAAATGGTTAAGCGCTCAAGTACTAGTAGAGAAGTTGGTGCTTTGAACTCACCCAGAGGCACCTTGCAAGATAAGCCTGGCAATCTGCTTTCAAGTCACAGCCTTGTAAACCTTGTGGAGCAGTTCTATTCTGCACATATAGGGTCTATATGAGTTAGAACTGATTCAATAACAACTAACAACAAACAGTCTTTATGGAAATAGATCACTAGGCCTTTCTTCCAAGATGCTAATGGATGGGTCTGAACCACCAACTTTTACATGAATAGCCAAGCATAAATCACTAATGCTACCCAGGGACTTTATCTTCCAATACTCCACTATGTACTTTATAGGACCCCTGGTGGCTCATGGCTAAAGCACCTGGCTGCTAATCAAAAGCTTGGCAGTTTAAACCCACTAGACTTTCTGAAGGACAATGATGTGGCAGTTTGCTCCTGTGAATATTTATAGCCTTGGAAACCCTATATAGTCATTCCACTCTGTCTTATAGGATAGCTGTGAGTCAGAATGGACTCAATGGCAATGGTTTTTGGGGTTTATATTTTATATTTCAAATAAACCAACTACTAGTTATTTCCCTAAAACCTTACACTAAAATTTGATTACCTTTGGGCCCATGGTACTTTTGGCACATAGAACTCCCTTATTTTCTGTCCCTCAAAAAAATTCTATCCTTCCTTCAAAGCCAATTCTTATACCATCTCCTCCATGAAAGTTTCCACTTAAAAAGAAAGGTCTGCCCATCTTTGTATTCTCACTGTTCTAATGCAGCATTTTGAAATCAGGTCACAACCTGTTCATTTATGCCTTGCCCACTGCTGGCACTAAGATGTTTGCTGAACTGAATTCAATGTCTATTCTCTTTACAAATTAACTCCAAAGAGGTAAAGGGAGGAATTAGAGCTTATTGTCTACTCAGGATCTCACTCAAGATCATACATAGGTATGCAGAAGCTGTAACTGTGATACTTTACAAAAGCTCAAGGAAGAACGAGTTTTCACTAAACTTTAAATTTCAATAAAAGAAAGCTTCCATTACTTTCTGAAGAAAACCAAGTCCTTAGTTTTTAATTTAGACCTCATAAATGAAAGCTTATGGATATACAGGTTAACAATTTACTCTAAATAGTTATGTCATTCATCAAACAACAAAATAACTATATTTTATTTCTTTATTATCTGAACTGGTAAAGGGCTGGTAAAGAAAGAACTGGTAAAATTATCTAAAACTCTACCCCTCCCAATGATGTAAAAAGTTTAACTAAATATATATAACTGTCTCATGCACTATTTCAACCAACCTTGGGCCTCTAGAAGACCAAGTATATTGATTTGCAGGTAATTTCTCTCTCAGAGAATACTCAGCAACCATCATATCAGGAGAAACATAAGCACCAACACCTGTAGAATGGATTTCATCATTTAACCAAAAGAAACAAAATAAGGATCCTAATTCTAAATCCATCAGTACCTTAGCTGTGTGACCTTAGGTAAATCACTTAATTTCCCTATACCTCAGTTATCTTTTGGAATATGGAATGATAAGAAAATATATTAACAAATACTATGCATTATATACTAGGTGTATTACTTACGAATATAAAATATTTATCATGTAGGAATATTATTTGGATTAAATGTAATAATGTACCTAAACACGTATGTATGTGTAAGAGAAAGTGTGTTTTAAACTGAACAACATAACTTTAACTTTAGAAAAATAAAGGAATTAGCTGGCCTCCATTTTTTAAATGATCGCGGTACTCAAAATTCTACCCATAAATTTCATGTTGTTTTTGTTGTTGTTATGTGCAGTTGAGTCGGACCCGACTCATAGGGACCCCTCCTTCGGTTTCCGAGGCAGTATCACTACGGAAGTAGATTGCCCAACCATCCTTCCGAGGAGTGGCTAGTGGGTTTGAACCGCCAGCCTTCTGGTTAGCAGTCAAGTGCCTGAGCCACTATGCTACCAGAGCTCCTCATAAATAGAGGTAAAAATTTCAAACAAAATAGCAGACAGTAACTCTACCTTTTAAAAAAATGGTTATAATTTAATAAGTAAATAATAAATATAACATGCTACAGTGGACTAGATAAACATGCAAATACTGCCTAGTTAGACTATAAAATCATAAAGTATAGAGATTAAACAAGTCCTTTCATTTTAGTCATTTGGAAACAGCACTCAGAGAAGCTAAAAAAAATTTAGTTAACACACACAGTGACCGACAGAGACAAGACTTAAAATCCAGTTTTTTAAGTTCTTAATTCTGAATGCTTCTTTATAATACACACATCTTCAGAATAGAAATCTAAATGAACCACTTGTGAGTTACGTGGATTTAGGCTAAGAATGCTGCCATAAAAAAAAAAAAAAAAACCTCACTGCTGTTGAGTCAATTCTGACTCACAGCGACACCTCCTTGGGTTTCTGAGGCGTTATCTCTGCAGAAGTAGATTGCCCAGTCTTCCTTCCAAGGAGTGACTAGTGGGTTTGAACTGCCAGCTTTCTGGTTAGCAGTCAAATGCCTTAGGCACTGTGCCACTAGAGCTCCCAGAATATTGCCACACAAAATTAAAAGTACTTTGAAAAATTCAGTGTAAAAGTTTTAGTGAACCCAGTAATAAGAAATAATTAAAAAATTAAGCATTGTTGTTCACAAATATTAGGTACTGTTGTTCACACTTAATTTGGTAAGCTCTTCTCTTATTCTTTATATCTAGTGAAACCCTCATTCCTACACCTCTTCCATAAATGTTTGATTCAAATTTAAGTCAAAAATAATTGTGCTTGTGTGATTCCACAGCACTTCATCTATACTTCTGTTAAACCTCTTACTTTAAATTCTAGATAACTCAGCTCTCTTATTAGATTTTAAGCTTCCTGGGGGCATACTTAAAGTCTAAAATGTCTAGCACATAGTAGAGATTCAATTAACGTTTGATTAACTATTTGCTTGCTTGCTTGCTTGCTTGTTTGCTTATTTTTCATAGGAAACTAACCTATCACACTTGATGTAGTTCCACCTGGACAACCCACTGTAGAAAGGCATGGACCATTATTTCCAGCACTTGAGACATATATAATATTATGCTTCCATACTGCTTCATTAATTACTTCACAAATTCGCCTGAAAAGAGAGAATTTCTTTGAACACGTGAAATTATTCAACATTTCAACAAAACAGTACTAAAATGAGAAAATTTCCTCAAGTATGGTTTACATAAAAAAATAAACTAAAACGTGTTCTAAGTAGTAGAACTAAACAGTGGCTATAAATAAGGGTGAGGGAATTAGAATCATGCATGGGACATTCTCAAACTATAAACGCTCAGCCTCTGTTCACTAAGAGTTCATAATAGCAACCTATTGTCCAAATGTCTGGCTAAGTAAGTTGTGGTATGCCTAGTATTGACAGATCACGATATAGCCATTCTAAGTGATACACTTTAGTTGAGTTTTCATGGGGAGAAGGAATGATGAAGCAAGGTTAAATGTGGGAAAAATGCTCAATACAAAAGTGGATATAGGTGGGAAAATATACTACAAAAGGATTGAAAGAAAATACCAAAATATTAGCAGTCACTAATTAGTAAAACAATAGGTAGACTTTTTTCCCATATTCTACTTAAAATAATGTATTCAGAGAAGATTCTTTAGTTGATTCTTATACATGTATCTGTGATTACAAACCAGCTGACAAAAAGAATGCATATCTTCTGTGACAAGAGAGCGACAAAAGAGAAGGATAAGGCACTAGGAAGAACTCAGAGTAAGAATTTAAAACATAAGAAATCTGGTCAGGGCCTGACAACAAACGAGAAAAGTTTACTGGCATCATTAATTAAAGGAAATAAAATTACATCATAAAGAAGAAAATGGAATCAATATAAAGAAGGTAAGGAGCTCTGGTGGCATAGTGCCTAAGGTATTTGACTGGTAACCAGAAGGCTGGTGGTTCAAACCCACCACCCACTCTATGGAAGGAAGACTGCACAATCTACTTCCCTAAAGATTTACTGCCTTGAAAACCCAAGAGGGTTCACTATGATTTGGAATTGACTTGATGGCAGTGAGTTTGGTTTGGTTTATAAAGAAGGTACACAGGCAAAGGACACTCCAAAGTCCTACAAGTGAGTATCTGAGTATGGAACTACTAAAGGAAAGATGACTCTAAAGAGAGAGAGTCAAAGGAGAGGAAGAAATGCACTTAGATAAATAAGATAATGAAACAGGAAGAGGAAGGGCAAGATTACACTAAAAAAATGAAAATAACTGATGGTGACAGGATATATGTCAAAAAGACAGTAGAAGACTCTTTCACAAGAAATCTCATATCCATTTTCTGAGAAAATGAGTTATCTGGTAACAGCAAGCTACAGCACTTTGCTTGGCAAAATTTCCATTTAAACAGGATTTTATATAAAGAGCTTAAGAAACCACATGTAAATGACCTGAAGGTGGGAATGGGGAAGACAGATGATCAAGTAAAAACTCTAAATAATTTAATATTATTCATTAATTTATTAATAATAAAACAATCTAAGTAATTTCAAATAGTCATTACTATGGGGAAAAAAA